CTGAATAAGATTACGTCTACATCTCCCAAACTTGGAGAACAGAGACTCTGCTTCCCACGGGTGCCATGATTCAGAAATGAGAGTATGAATTTCCTCCTTGCCTCTCAGGCTTCTATTGAACCTAAAAGATCCTTTATTCTTGATCTTAGTGGGGTCAAAGAAGGTGATCAAAGGCCTATGATCCGACCCCTCAAACCTGAGGTACTTGCATCTGCCAGCTGGAAATGATTCAGCCCAAGCCACATTAGACATCACTCTGTCCAACCTAGACAGGATAAAGTGAGAATTTCTCTGTCCTCTCCAAGACAACTTATTCCCAGAGTGTTGTACCTCCCAAAGATCATTTTGCGAAAGACCATATATGAGCTACAATCTTAAAAACTGGATTATATCATAAATTGAAGAAAGAGGAGTTTACATACTCATCAACTCCACAATTCTGGAATTGATATAAGAACAAGTATGTTTCCAAATAATTATCAATCATTCAGGGATCTTCAACATCATTATACGAAGATTAAGCAATATATTTGCAATGTTAGTATAGTTCATAATTTCCAAACAAATCCATAGAGAAATCGATGTCAATATCACCCACATATAAACAAACAATTTTTTAATTTGATTGACAAGAATCCATCAAGATAACATAATGAACATACAATTTCTCTTACCTTTTGTACACGAAAGATTTTGATTCGGATTGGAATGGATTATTTTTGATCTCTTCGTTGTTCGTTTGGATTCGTGGCTCTCTTCGTACAAGTGTCAATTACAAAGCTCTCTTCCTTCAGGAAATGGTAATTCTTGCATGTTTTGGAAAGATAGTGTAAGGAGCGTAATAACAGATTGCATCGTCACTCTCAGATGGACATTGACTAGATATGTTTCTTCTTCGTTCTATCTTTAATTGGGTACAATTAGATTCTTCTAATAATAACTACAATGGGCTTTTGTAACGACTAACTGACTAAGTCCTTCTTGCCTCTTTTAATTTTTTTTAAATGCAACCAATTAACATAAGAAGAAAAAAAACTCTCTTTCCTTTATTTGCTAATCAAAGGTATAATCAAACAATCTAAACAAAAATAGATTGACATAATGGAAAGTGGAGAAATAACTTCTTATTTTTAGTGATAAAGTGAGACATAGAATTATTTGTCTCCATAACGTTACTACTTTGTGACTTTCACTTCGTTTTGTCTAATTGCGGGATTTTTTATTTTTTTATAAAAAAATCCCAAAAAATAATTAGCTTATTTATAACACTTATATAAAATCTTCGAAATAGTAGAATGACACTATGTCATTTAACATTATAACAACGTACATATACATCAAAAAAAATATTCCAAAGTAAACAATTCTAATATACAATTTTTTCCGCGCAATAATTTAAAGCTATTAAATATACAATTCCGCGCAATTATTTTTAATATACAATTAAAATTAAAAAATTCTAAATGCAATAGTTTTAAAAATATTTAATTTTTAGTTGAAAATTTGTATATTTAAAGTTAGTGTTTAAATTATTCCAGAGTTAACAATTCTAATTAAAAATATTCCAAAGGTAACAATTAAAAATTAAATAAAAATTATTGCTTGGTATACTACGGGTTTAATCCTAGACCACATTTTTTTTGTTTGGACGCACTTTTATTAATAATATTTGAACTCTATAAAAATAAAAAATATAAATATTGTGGGAACCATTTAAAAGCAAAAATTTAATTGACTCGAATTATATGTTTTTTTAAGCAAATATTTTTAAACAGAAAAATAACAAAATGTGTTATAGTTTCACGGAACATGGTTATATGGTGGGACGGGTTTGGATCGATATTAATACGGAATGGTATACCACGGGTGAAATCTTAGAATCAACAATAAAAATACAATTATACAATCTTAAATACTAAACAAAACAAATAATATTAACAAAACAATTATAACTTAAAATTTAAACTTTTTAATTACAAAAATATCAATCTGCAGTACACCGCGAGGTAAAATCTAGCTTTATTACAAAAAAATAATATAATCAATCATAAGATTAGTGACAAAAATTTTTTTAATCAAATATATACAACACAAATAATCAAGTTATAAAATAAAACACAAACACAAATTTATTTATCCTGCGGTGTACCGCGGATCATATCCTACTTAAATAAGTAAAACAAGTGGTGTTCAAATAAAAGGAGTAAAAGTTGAAAAGAAAAAACTAATAAGTACGGTTAAAGTTAAATAATTGTGACTCTTAAATATTTTTAAAAATTTAATGATTCAAATAATTTTCTTATAAAATATATCTTTTCCTTTTTTTTTGCAACATCTATATACAAAATACAAAATTTATCATTCGATAAATAATGTAATTTTTTCAAATTGTTAAAAAATAAAAATTTTAACAAAAAAATGTGAACCATACTTAAAGTCTTGTTTCTGATACCTTTTACTATCTCATGGGATTATTAAAAATGTATGATGTACTCTCTTATTATTAATTAATGAAATGTTTGGCCGACAAAAAAAAAAAAAAAAAAAAAATTCTTGTTTCTAATGCTGGTGTAGAGTCCAAATGTAGTTCATACATATATGCCCAAATAAAAATAATTGAATAAAAAGTAAGAAAAAATATTTTACGAGTCAAAAATGCAACATGTGCAAGTCTTGTTCTTTAGGTGGACCACAAACTCAATGACTCTACAATGTTTGTTGTCAATATTGTAGCGATTCGATGATGAATAACAACGAGCCCACTTCCTGAAATCAGCCACTTCCAAATATTTTGCCAGTTTTGGATTAGAAATCCGTATGTCACTGAAAATCTCTTGAAATGCATGATAAGTATAGACATTTGCTGCAGCTTCAACAAGTGGCAGAAAACTTTTACCCCTAAACTTTCATGCATTAAAATGATCATCACAATTGTGTAACTATTTGATGAACAATAGTTTTTGCACCTAAGCCATAAAAAAGTTATCAGGAAATATGCAAAAATTGAAGGATCGCAAGTTTAACAATACTCAAGGTAATGATATCAAAAGATGGGTTTCACCAAATCTTCTTCAGGAAACACTGTACCATGGAATCTTTCTTGGGCTCCTCCACAATCACTTCACCCTCTTCATCCTCCGTGTGCTCCTCAACAATCACTTCACCCTCTTCATTGTATCTCTCTATAAAAGACATGACATCATTGCTCCTAATTGTGAAAGCAAATGATGTTGTTCCCAAGATGATACTTGCAGATTTTATGATGGGAAGTTGGATACAAATCTGAAAGTGTTTTTGCAATGGCTTGAGCATGATTAGAAATAAATACCAAATCAGCTGCATGAGGGATGATAGTAAGCAAACATCTAAAGAACCAACTCCATGACGCTTCATTTTCTGAATCAACAATCGCAAATGCTATCGGGTATAAGCGATAATCTCCATCTTGTGCAGTCGCTGCTTGCAAAGTTCCCTTAAACTTTCCTTCAAGGATGTACCATCCACATCAATGGCTCTTCTCATCAAAGCAAAACCTTTAATCGACGGGTAAAATGCAACGAACAAGTATTTGAATTTCCCATTAGGATCCATCTCAAGGTAAGCAACTGTTTCATGATTTTTTACCTTTGCTATGAACAATCATTTCACTAGATTGAAATAACCATCTTCCATGATCTGAGCTTCCTCTTTCGTTCTCCAAGCTTTTTTATATTGTAATTGTACTCCATGATCTCTCCTGACCAGCTCCATAAGCTGTTTTGGTCTTAGTCCATCTTTCTTTTCTCCATAGTTGTTGTAGTAAAAAATCCCAAACAATTTCGTAGTAGCTTGTCTATGGTTTGGATTTTTGTGTGTTGTGTCACAAGTGTGCTTGATGTGAGTCAAATTAAGACCTAAGACTACTCTCTCAAATAAGAGATCGTGTGTAGCATTTTAGGGTCGAATTCCACAAAGCTTTCGTGTTCACACAATAGACTAACATATTTTGAATTAAGCTAAACAGAAAATAAGAATATTAAAAATAAAGAAAGCAAATTTAAATTGGTTATAAATTCAGATGGGGAAAACATTAGGCTTAGGAATTTCTCAGGAAATAAACTAATAGTAAATTTAGAAAACTAATTAGGATTATTTAACGAACCATTCTAGAACTCAAAACACTAATGAATAGCTAACCACCTCTCGATGCACTAACTAACTAATCTAATATCAGTAATTCTACCTCTCGATGCGATTCCTAGATCTAGACTAGCATTAAACACAAGTTTGATATGTTCACAAATTCTCCTAGACCAACTCTCGATGCATCTAGAAATATTTTTGCTCACCTGAGGTAGTTCCAGTAACAAGTGCCCTCTCGGATCAAATACCTATTATCCTATGATCAAATTCTAGGTGATCAAGCTAGAATTAACATTAAGAACAACCTAAGGTGAAGAACTCTATAGATTAATCCTAACAGGTAATCGTTTTACTAGTTCATCTAAATCTCTAATGAGAATCCCTAAACCTAACAAGCAAACTACTCAAACATGGAGATTGAAACAAACAACATGGTTGAAGTAGAAATCAATAATGAATATAACAAGAAAATAGGGTTTAGAAAGATCTTCAATAAAGGGAATCCCCACAGGGTTTTGCTCCCAAGAACAAAATAGATAAGGAGAATAGCCTCTCCAAGCTTAGGTCTAAACAATGACCTTATATATATATATATTCTAAAAACGTGCAGGGACTTCTTTGAAAATAGGGAAAAGTTCTGGGGCGAATATGCAAATCTTCATAACTTCAATAAAACGCATATTTGAATTGTCGTCAGATATTGGTGTCCCTCGACACGAGGGGTGGTGTCGATCGACACCTACGCGAATTTTGGTCTCCGGATTTCTTCTGCAGCATAAGTTCTCTGTTTTCCTCCAGAATGCTCCATAATCTCCAAATGCATCCCAAACATGTAAAAACCTGAAAAGGACTAGAAATAACAAATAGACTCTAAAATCTATACCTAAAACATAGTTAAAACCGGTAAAAATCGAGGTATATCAGTGCTCATGACAGTACTTCATCACCACAAAGAATTCAGATGAGTCTATCTTAGTTGCACACATCTTCTAAGTACATTTATCATCAACATATACCAAAATCACTCTCCTTTTGTTTGACCATCGAGACTTGAGCTCAAACTTCCATTCCAACGCCCATTTTCTCATCTTCTACATTACCTCATCCTTCCTATGGAAATATCTGTTCACATGTATATCATCAGCCCCTCGTATTGAATGTGAACCTCCTATAGGAATCAGAGTAATTAGATACGGAGCAGGAAGTAAAGGCAATGAATTATTTAGTCTTGGGCATATAATCCAGTTCAGTTACGAATATAGGCATAAAATCGATTGAATATTGTTTTAGATATCCATGCTTAGGTGTTCGGTTCGATTAGTAACCGATTGGTGATCGGTTACCCAAATTAAATTGACCCATTAAAATTTATAAATCCAAACCCAACACTTAGAGCATCTCCAATGGTTACAAGTCTTTGAGGGGTTCTCAGCATTTTTAAGTATAAATTTAGCTTTTCTCAAACTAAAAAACTTGCATAAGAACTCTTAAGTTTTGTGTCCTCCAATGGTTACAACCACTAATGGGGTTCTTAAGAAAAAATTCAAATTTGTAAAATAATACATATATATGTATCCGAATCAACAACACTGACCCTCATGCAACAACAATAAACCGAAACAGATCAATCATATAACTTCTTCGTTTTCTAGAGCACCAAATTATCTAAACAACTAATTCAATCAAAGCTAATCATCTTCCTATCTCACAACGCTTTGTTAAAAATGGCTTCTCTAGCTATATCTATTCTTCCTCAAGTAGCAAACAAGAAACTTCACACTATAAGCCCATCAAACCATACTGTAAATTGAAAGCTTATTCCTCAATTGAATCTAAGCAAGTCAAGGTTTTTATAATCACATGGAGCTTTGAAGCAAGCAATCAAATAGAGTACCTGCACATCAAATCCTGACAATCCTTTGATGAACTATCGATTTCTCAGCATTGATAATGGATTCCACGCGATTAACCGCATCATCAAGCCCCCTTTCGCATTCACCACAACGTAATCAAAGATCTTTAGATGCCTAATCTCTTCACGAACTTGACAAAGCTTGTTGATCACTGCGTCTTTGCCAACTCCGCTCGGACCACTGATAACGATGACGATCTGATTCGGCGGTGGGATAATTGGATCGGCGGTGAAAGAAGAACCAAATTGTTTCGAGGGAACGAAGCGAGGGTTTGGTGGGAGGTTGGATTGGGGACAAAAACAGATATAATTGGGTCTCCGATTTGGTGAAACGAACTCGCAATGGTGATACGTACAAAAGAGAGAGACGACAGAGAGCCGGTTACCAAAACTCTCTCCACAGAGCCGGTTCTCCTAATAATTTTGGGTTTTGATTTATTTTTATTAACATTTAACCAGAGAACCTCCTCCTAAACCAACTAAAACCCCCTGTTGGAGATGCTCTTAGGACTCTTCTCTGTCTTGATTTTTTCTAATCCCAACTCTCAAGCCGAACAATTTGTCTAACCTAATTAATTGACTTAGGCTTACCCTTCATTTCATTCTCTTACCTAATTCGTAAAAGACTTTAAGCGACAACGAAGGCGATGGCTGCGACACCAAGGCTTTAAGATCATCTCTGCTTCGATTTCTTTGATTCTTCTGTCGGATTCAAGGTAAGCTACTAAGCTTGTCCGATTTCTTTTTTTTTTTTGTTTATTGTTCATGTTTCCATATATTGCAATATGGTTTCATCAGATATTTCATGTTTTGAAATCGATTTCCACTTCTACTACAACTTCTGACTATAATCGATGTCTACTTCTACTTCTACTTCTGATTTCTACTACTATAAATACGATTATAGACTTCTACTTCTACCTCTGATTTTAATGGATTTCCATATATTCAAATTTGTTTTACATGTTTCCAGAGATTGATGTGTTGATGATTTAATTGTATTTGTATTTTCAAATCGATTGTGTAGATGACTCTCTCCTGCCAAGAAAAATTTGTGTCCGATGATATTAACAAAGAATATGAGAATGGTGGTGAGGAGGTAGATATTGAAACTGATGATGATAGTTATACTATTACTGCTACTGAATCTAAAAAGAAAAAGAAAAAATCTAGTAGAGCTGTTGGATCTTCGTCCCACACGTTTCATCAACTTATCCATTACTATGTTCTTGTATACTTGGCTATGGTCTCATCAACACTCACTAATCATGCAAAATATATGGTTTGGTCCGATCCACAGTAGAACATAAGCAACACTCAAAAATATTTCAAACACCAACGAAGATACTTCACTTCCGTATAGTATAAAAACACTAAAAATCTACAAAATGTTCATATCATTAGACAAGACTTACAATTAAAACAGAGATTAGGTGTTTTTGATGTTTGTGGATGGTACAATTGTAAGTGCGGATGAGGTACGATAAATAGCGGAAAGTAAACGAGACAAGAAATTTGTTAACGAGGTTCGGTTTTTCCTACTCCCCGGGACCACGTCCAGATTTCGATTCCACTAGAACAAGAAAGCAAATTACAACCAATTCGCAAACGCGTAAAACAAGCACAACCCTCTTGATTTACCGCTCCCTTCTATAACGTGAAACCTTAAGGATAATCTCTACCCTTAACTAAACTCCCCCTTGAGTCTAGATTTAATCAGGATAACCTAACCCTGAGCTAAACTCCCCTTGAGCCTAGACTTCACAAACAAAACCTCTTGATCACACAAGCACAAACCCGCCAAAACTAAGTTGCACAAAACCGCGAAACTATGTCGCACACACCCTTAGAAAGCTCTCAATGATTTGTCTCTATGCCTCAGCTCTCTTGCCTCTCCAAGACGTCCCCAACTCCTCCTTATATAGCCAAAACGATTTCCTAATCACCATAGGAGAAGATTTCCAATTTCCATAAGAAAAAGTAAATTTCCTTTTATACTTTTCCTTTTTCTCTTCAAACTCCACTTTCATCAAGTCTTCCAAATCTCTTTAAGTCCTTTTTCCTTTGTGATTCATCCTCTAAACACGCTCCAAACACATCTTCTCAAACCTTCTAGAAACCGACACTTACACAAAAACAGTCGCATCTTGACATACTTCTTGAATCATTCAGAAACTCCATCAGACAAAATCTTGTTTTACTTCTTGACTCATTCAACAACTTCATCAGACTGCAGCTACATCTTCAATCTCCCCCTTTTTGACTATGTTTGTGAACTCAACAGTTCTAACTCCAAAACAACATCACGAACATATCATCATTCTCCCCCTGAATGAGTCACAACATGGTCAAAACTACTTAGAAAATTCTCCCCGCTTTGCAACACGAGGTTGATAGCCTAGTACACCACCTCCATAGAAATCATCTTTCCTAACCCAAATCATCAGACAAAATCTTGTTTTACTTCTTGACTCATTCAACAACTTCATCAGACTGCAGCTACATCTTCACATTCCTGAAAACACACAAACAACAAGATCAGTGAAGAAAATAACTCCACAAATAGAGAAACGTAAGTTTGTACGCGTTCAAAATCGATGGACTTAAGCTCATAATTGGCTTCTAAACATCTATGAAAAAGCTACAAGAGGAATAATGACACATCGGAATTCTTTGTGGTGAATCGATTCACACATCTATAATTCGCCTTATTATACAATAGAAAGCAATAAGACTCACGATTTCGTCAACACGATTGGTGAAAAAGAAGAAGATGAGAAAATTGGTGAAAGACATCGATTTCGCACTTGAAGATCGGAGATCAAAAGCTTTTGAATTTAATGATTCAAAGGCTATGAATGGTGGATGTAAAAAAGACGGATCAAACACAGGTCAGGTTCGTCCATTTTGATATCTCCCATTCACAACTTTTACTTTAATAAAATGTGTTTCTTGCTTAAATTAATATAAAAAAAATGAAATGCAAGCAGTCTAAATTACTGAAGAAAATCCTGGAACCACTATAAACAGTAAAACTGCATCAATTACACAGCACTTCTAGGTTCAATAGCGGTTCTTCTATTTTATTTATTATTATTCTATTAATTGAATCCAAATCCAATCAGTTAACCAAATGATTTGTCTTATCTATTTTCTCAAACCATATCCATTACTTGATATTTCCATCTCATATTTATTATGTATATTTCTGCAGTATTTTTAATTTATCCAAATATTTGAGTAATCTTTATAAATTAATTGTTTTCATTATTTTAATATTTTAAGTTATTATCTTTTCCATAAAATATTGAATAATTTTGTATAGTTATTTTGTACCTTTATTATATACAAAATGATAAATTATGAAATAATATATAAAATAAATAAATTGCTTTTGTAATATTAACATGTCATAATATTATTTTGTATACAATAAATTAAAGAACGCTTTTGTATTAATAATAAAGAATTTTAAAACTTAGTATACTTTATAGTAATATATATAGTATATCTTGTAAAATATTTTATTTAATAATTTGTTTCTAAATCATTTTAAAAAAATTTGTGCTGCTCCACGTTTTATCCGCTTTTACCATTAAAACATATATTTTGAAGCGTTTGATCTGCTAGATCCGCTTGATTTGCACTTGTACCGCTAGATCCGCTTGATCCGCATTTGTTCTGCTTGATCCGTTTAAACCGCTTGATTCGCTCCGCCTGAACCGCTTTTTCCATTCGGAGCCAAAATAATTTTCTTACAAATATATCTTTCGATAGTAATATGTAATTTTTTCTTCAAATTGTTAAAAAATAAATTTTAACAATAAAAGAAATGTGATTCATATACTTAAATTCTTGTTTCTGATGTTGGTATAGAGTCAAAATGTGGTTCATACAAATATCTATTCTTTCGGATTAGTTTCAAGGGCTTGAACTATGAAAAGTATTCTTCCGGGTTAAAACATAGATTCGCTCAAACTTAAGGTCTTGTTTTGTTAAACTCTCTTTCTTCTTTCTTTTTGCAAAAACCTAAAATCCCTCTCAAAATTCTGTCTCTCCTTCTCCGTCAAATTCTCCATGGATCGATCTTTGAATCTCCTCGATTTAGCCTTAGGGTTCGATGAGCAGCTAGCTAATCCATCTCCACTAAATGGGAAAGTAATACTAATCGAAGACTGTGTAGAGACTAGTGGTTCCTTTGTACTTCACCAGCTGATGAAACGTGTTCTCTCCCCTAATTCCTCTGACGCTCTTATCTTTCTCGCTTTTGCTCGCCCTTTCTCTCATTATGATCGAATCTTGCGTAAACTGGTAAAAAGTTTCGATCTTTATTTGTTTTGTCTCCAATTTCATTTCTTTCTACAAGGATTCTTAGTGTCTTACTATGTTACAGGGATGTAATTTAGCGACCCATAAGACCAATAATCGATTGGTGTTCTTTGACATGCTAATGATCAAGTGTTCAGGTGAGACTTATCTCAGGTAAACAATTGATTTGATTAGAAGTAGAGTTTAGCTAATGCTTAATGTCACATTAGCTTAGTTAGTCTTTGATACTTAGAGAGTTAAATAGACTTAATTTTGTATGGTTTGGTAGTGCCTTTGGATTTAGAGAGTGTTAGGATATCTCTAGAACAAATCTTCTTACTAGTGGTTTCGGTTTTGGTGATCTCGATTGTTTGATCATCGGTTCTTCTATGTAAGTGAGGAGTTAATTACATGAAGTAGCAATTGTCTCTGTTCTCTGCAATTCTGCATATCAGATTCTGAACAAGGAAGTTGTATTTTGAACACAAATGATGAGTTTTTTGTTGGGCTAGCTTAGATTCTACCTCCAGATTTGACTTATGTTATATAAACATAAATTTGATTTCATCTACTTGTAGGAGTTTCATTGTTTAGTGGTGTCAATAAATCTGTTTTTACGATATGAAAACACTTTCTTTTGCTGAAATATTTTACCAGATAGTGAAGAAATGGAAGACAATGTGAGTGCAGTTGCGAAACTATTTCGGGAGATACAAGAAACTGTTCGAAAGCTACAAAGTGTAACAAGTGGTAACATAACCGTTATGGTGGATGACATGTCTCTCCTGGAAATTGCTACTACCGGCAGCAATTCAGATCACGTCTTGGACTTCCTCCACTATTGCCATACCTTAAGTTCTGAAAGCGTAAGCCAGATGCTCTAACCCTTTCTGGAGTACATTATCGGGGATTTTCTTATTTTGGGTCTCTAACGGGTACACCTTCTTGAAAGACAGAATTGTTCATTGGTCATTCTCAATCATGAAGATATATACGCGAGTATGGAGAGACCTGCATTTTTGCTACAGATGGTATGCCTTGCAGATGTTGTGATAAAGGCAGAGCCTTTAGCCTCTGGTTTAGCAAATGATGTACATGGCCAAGTAAGTAATCACAATACTCTTTTTCCTCGAATCATTAATTGAACCTTTTGTTTGATAATTTCTTGGTGTCTAATTGATTTTTGGTATACAGTTGACTGTTCTGAACAAGGGGATAAGCAACTCAGGTCGAGGAACCTCGAGGAACAAGTTGCAGAATTTTCAGTTCAGGATCAAGGAAAATGGTATCGACTATTTCTATCCTGGTTGCAGAAGCTGATGATTAGAGACCGTTTTTGTAGTGAAATGGATCTAGAAATTTTGTTCTGTTTTCGTGAGGAAGCTACTGCATTTAGGTTAACAGATTATGTACTCTTCTCAACATTTTTTCCCAAGTGTCTTTCTGGTTGTCAGTTTATTACTTTACTTAGGTAATGAGTCAAACAGACTAGACACAAATGATATAATGCTCACTCGGCGTGTCTCCGAGGTTGAGCCGGCCATGCGCCAGGAGATGGCAGAGACGGGCGGATCACAAGGACCCTTCTTACCTCTGTGAACATTTCATTGAGTCTAGCTGCCTGATTCATCAATCAACACCCGCGACACCTTCTGCAAAGATTATAAACAAACCAAGTCGTGATAATAATTGAAGAAAACATAGCCAAAAGGTTTTTTTCTCTGTCCGGATTCGGATCCATCACGTAAAATAGCCAAAAGGTTTTTTCTTTATGGACTTGGTAAGAGTCGAGCGAGTGATGACGTGGAGATATGCTGATCGGTTTAAAACTGAATAAACCAAACCAAACCAATAAATGCCCTAGGCCCCGAACTCTCTAAATGTCCGATGAACAAATACAATAATACAACGATCATGAATAGAGAAAAATCATTAGATTCAATCCCAATTGATCTCTTTCTCGAGATCTTCTCGTGATTGCCTACAAAATCAGTCGGCAGGTGTTGTTGCGTGTCGAAGTTATGGAAGTCATTACTTGGCCGTCAAGATTTCACCGAGTTGTTCCTGACCAAGTCCTCGACTCGTCCACGTCTCTTATTTGCCGTTAAACGAGCCAACACTTTAGTTAATAAAGAAACGTTTCATCATATTCTGACATTAGGAGCTGGAAAAATGAAGTGGAGGAAGATCCAATATTGTTCCTTTACTCATAGGCTTTCTGGTCAAGGGATTTGCATCAATGGGGTTTCAATATGTGATAGTTTGCTTTGATGTTAAGGCTGAGAAATTTAGGTTTATTGATGGATGGTATATTCATCAATTGATAAATTATAAGGGTAAATTAGGTGGGGTTAATTTGCACTATGAGCAGCATAGTGAATGGAATGGTGGATGGTATATCCGTGAGTTACGACTATGGGTTCTAGAGGATGTCGAGAAACAGGAATGGTCGAAATATGTCTACCCTTTTTGGGAGAATGGATACCGCAATCCTCTTTCCGTTGTTGGGATGACTATGACAAGTGAAATTGTTTTGTCGGAGACTTGGGGATCTAGGCCTTATAATGTTTTCTACTTGAGTCCCGAGAGGAAAACTTTCCAATGTGTTAACTTCCAAGGTGTTGGAGCTAAACATGAAAAGTTTAATCATTGTGGTATAGTTTATGCCTTTGTAGACCATGTTGAGGATCTTAGTGTTAACGATGCAAAGCAACTCAAGTCAAGCATATATGCTCTAGATCGATCGTTGTATGTTTGAGAGCATTAACAAATTTGATGCTTTGTGTCGTTTAGATATAAATGTGTCAACATGTGATTGCTTCCCATGCTCCTCAAGTCAGCTAATAAAACCTCTCTATTTGAAATTAAGTTTTTATTCAAGTCAGAGCCATGGCTGAAATTGTCTTTTATATAAATCTCTATCTTGCCTGTGAGGGTGACACTTATCATTTACAATATGCATAGGATCAACGCAAACACATGTATCTCTGTTAGTTGGTACATAAGATGATACATTGTATAATCGGCTTCTCATCTAAGGCTCAAGGAGATGGCAGAGACGGGCGGATCACAAGGACCCTTCTTACCTCTATGAACATTAATTCATTAAGTCTAGCTGCCTGATTCATCACCCGTGACACCTTCTGCATAGATTATAAACAACCCAATTTGTGATAATGGTAGAAGAAAACATAGCAAACGGAAAACAAAACAGGCGATTGAGCTGTGGAAGGTCAAGGTAAATATCAAATCTAAGCATTTGGTATGCAGGTTCCATGCCTAAGTATTATTTAAGCCAGGATAAAACAATCACTAAACAAATCCGAATTAAAATTCTACAGCTCGACAAGTTTACTTTGTATCAATGCAACAGAACAGAGTAAAGCGTACTCCTTAAAGAAATCATTTAGCCTAGCTTACCAAGTTCAAGCAAAATGATAAGAAAAGATCAATAAATCAACTTCAATGTCAATATAGACATATAGTGTACCTTATCGTCAATTGTAACTTTAAGATTGAACCTTTGAGCTTTCATTTTCGTATCATAGTCTCCACCGTCCCAAGAGAACCAAACCCATCACAGTAGCAGCCAAAGAAACAGACCAAACTGGAAATATTCACCGGATCCCAATCAAGCAAGTCCTCATCATCCATGATAATCCAAGATTTCTCAGAATTCCTAAAACCCAAGAACCTTAAACGAAACCCCAATTTGATTTAGAGGGGTTGACGATAATGATTCGAAATAGCCAAAGGTTTCTTTAATTTCTAATTGAGCCAGTGATGAAGTGGATATATTTAATTGGCTACGTTTCTCTCACTCTCTCATGCATTTAAGTAACGTATGACATACTTGGCTTCGTTCGGTGCACATTACAAAAGACTGATTAAAATTTAAAACCATAACAAAAAGATAGTTTTTGTTTGCCAATAAACAAAAAAAAAAGAAACTAATTATAAAAACTGAGAAAATAAAAGTGTGGGTTTTTTTTCACCTTTTAGATGGTGGCATGTTCTTCATGCTACTACTACCGCCTCCACCGCTACTTCCAGGTCGCGATTTCCCAAACGCTTTCATCTTCCTTCTCTTCCTCTCTTCCTCACTATCAAACTCAACTCCATGCTCTCTATCTGCATTAGTAGCTTCTCTCTCCAGCTCATCCCAAGTCTTACCTTTCTCTTCTTCTGACTCTTTCTCTGAGTCCTCTTCTTCTTCATCCTCTGACTCAACCATTGACCCACTCTCTGAAGCCTCATCCTCTGACTCAGACTCAACCTCTACATCTGACGGTTCATATCCTTTGTCTGACTCCTCAGAGCCTCCAGATTCTGAGTCGCTTCCGTCCAGATTCAAAAACTCCCATCCTCCATCATCTATAAAGCTCTGCGGATCATCCGTGATCGTCTTCAGGATCTGTCTCCAGTTCAGATTCAGTTTGCTCTCGTAGTACTTTATATCTATAGTGTCAAGCCACTCCTTTATCCCCTCTAGTGAACTTGTGGGAACTGAGTCAACTCTGAGAACATCTTTTTTGAAGTCCTTGAAGATGATGGCCATGTCAAAGTTCTTCTGCCCAAACCCAACTCTCTCAAGATTCACTATCTCAATCTCACTCAGACTTACCACTAAGAACGGGTTTTCTATCAGCTCAACTAAGCAGCTCGAGGTTGGTATAATGAATACAGATGTCTTATACGGAACACCATGGAAGCCAAGCTCTCTCAGAGGTTGATCAAACTCTAGGTTAAGACTTGCAAACTGGGGTAGTTGCCACATATCGTTGACCCGGTTTTTCCTATCGCGCTCTCGCTGTTCTTCATCTATCTCATCTGGATCATAGGATGATGATCTCCTCCCACCACCTAAAGACTGCACAACATCCATTACCTGCACGTAAAACTGGACGTCCTTTGTTTTCTTGGTTCCTACCATGATGTGATTGTGCAAATGAAAATGAAGGAGAGTGGTCATCTCCTTCTCAGCCGGTTGTACAAACGCATGCTTTATGTTTGCAAAGAGGACATCTACGCGCTCGTTGGTCGTTGAATACCTGAAACCATTGGCATGAGCTTCCAGTGTCCCAGGAATCTTCTTGCGCCCACTAAAAGGCGGACGGATCCATAGGTTGGACAACCTTAAGGGTTTGGCCTTGTTACTTGCAATCTTAAGTTTCTCTTGAGTCACCAATGACGTTCTTTCCGCTCTCTCTGACTCCCGGGACATGACTTGCCGTTTGAGGGTCTTAAACGACTGAACTACTTGGCTGCTATGCCTTGAATCCTTGGTCCGGAAAAAAACCTCCTTGAGGTAGATAGCATCCTGGTTTTTCAAAGAGTTTGAGTCATTAGGGTTTAAGGGTGTACCCGGGACATTGAAGATGATACGGATGGTATTTTGATTGCCTAAGACTGTTCTTATTGTAGTCACGTTGAATGGAACCATGCTGCCGTATATTGGTAATAATACAGCGTTGCTCTTGTGATCAATCGTGATCATCAAATCCCGAGGTTGGGGCATGTCGTTAATATTCTTGTAGAGCGACATGTCACAAGCAGCGATCAACTTCAAGTAAGCCTCTTTGTAGAATTGAAACAGAAGAGTAGAAAGAAAACGAAACAAAGTAAACTTTGACGAGAACAAGCTCTCTTCTTTTGGGTGCCTCTTCTAAGACAGCTCTGTATATAAGAAATCGTAAACACAAACCTAAAGGGGAAAAGGAAAAGGAAACTTGATCTGTAAAATAGAAATCTTTTATTTTATCAAAAAAATGAAATAGAAATCTTTTTTATTATTGAAGTCCAACTTTTTTATTTACCTTTTCCTTTATTATTTAATGATTATATATGTATACTAATAAATCATGAGCAGAACTAGGGTTTAGAAACTGTAAATCATCACATCACAAACCTCTTCAAGAACATCTTCTCCATATCCTTCTCCCTAATCTGCAGTTCATATTATTATTGATGGTCGAAGCTTTATCTCAAACCCATGAGGATGAAACAATAGCAATGATGAAGAAAGGAGGAACATGATGGTAGTATGGTACAAACTTGTCGATGCTCAGACGACGGCTAGGGTTTTGTCGAATCAAAGAAATAGATAAATTTTGTTGTTGTGATTATTTTGTTGTTTTATTTATTTGTATGGCCTTTTGTTTTTAACTTTTTTATGAAAATTAATTCTAAATAACATTTTTGTGATTATCAATAAAAAAAAAAATATAGGGCTAATGGTATTTTTCCAAAATATTAGAGTTAATCGAATAAGCCCTTGATTTCCCAAGAGTAATTACTAAATGATTATTGTTCTAAGGTTAATTTTGGATAGTTTTCACTTTTCACAAATATTAGTGACTTTACAAAAAAACAACAGACAAAATGAATATAAATGGTGAGAAATTTTACTAGAGAGTTTTCTAGGATTCTAATTTCTAAATGATAAAGTGTGAATGCAAAAAAATAGGTTTAAAATTAAAAACATTTTAGTAAAATAATTTTTTTTCTACAGTCCCTTGGTGTGTTCATGGATCATGAAATTACTTTGTTTGATTAATAAAATTAGCTTTCGCATATCTCCATGTTAAAGTATTTGGCTAGAATTACTGTTTGAATGATATGACAATTAAATAACATGCAAAAGGCTATGGAAGTTAAACAATAAAACTAAAGTTTTTGCATAACCTCAAATCAGTCACATACAAAAAGTTAAAACATTATGCTTAAAAGTAAGTTTTCATAACAGTACTGAATCTTAAAGTCGACATAAGTTTCACACATGCTATGATCAAATACACATATCAAATAAAAAAACGAAAACTCAAAGCTAACTTACCTTTACCATCACCCATTTGCTTATCATTTCATCAAATCTATGTCCTTAGAACTTAGAAGGTGGCTCGATCCAGAGACTCCTAAGAGGGCATAGTTCTTTCTGCTTTTGCCATATTGTTGGTTTTGGAAGCTGCTTACGCGGATAGTACCTACCTTCATCAAACGAGTAGGATAAACATCCCTTGCCATCTAAACCATACTTTGGGAAATACACACTGTTCCACATGCCAAGAACACCCAATCTTGTCTCTGACGAGTACATACTTGCAAAGATTGTCACGCCGTCAAGAGTAGAATACTACTCATCTCCTCCCAACTCGAGGAGACAAGTTTATACACCATCGGTATCTCGCTGCTACATGTATACATGAGAAAGAGCTCTCCTTTCTGCTCAACTAAGTAAATTCTCTTCAGCATATTAAACCATTCATCATTATCATTATGAATATAAGGGCATCTATGTTCATTCCATGCTTGATGACTCATTGTGCGGGAAGATAGATCAAAGTCTACTAAAACACCGCCCGAGCTGAAGCAATAGAAGTGATCATTGGCGTAGACAAGGTCGCTATGCATGTATAGGTCAAATCCAATAGAGCAAGAAAAATCTTGAGTAATCCACTCAATGGCTCCAGGATGACAAATGCTTATACGAACGCTATATCTCGTAAAAGGTCTTAACGCTATTACCGCACAAGTACCCGATGTAGGGGCAGAAGAGAAAGCAATCGCCTGGAAGGACAACTCACACTTTGGTAAATTTATAAGCTCTAGAGTATAAGGGTTGAAGAAGAACATGTCCACTAAATTCGATCTTCGCATAAGCAACCATCCGTATTTCGAGTAACAAACATCGGTTCCAGCTAATTCGGGTAAATTTAGTGTGTACCTCTTCCGTTCCAATGGATCAATGAAGATGGTCAAGTCATCATGTTTCGGAAAGGTGATAAACCATGGATGCTTTTCCACAACCCGAACATATTCAGCGGCTTTACGCCACGCCTTGCAGACAACGAACGCACGAATGTTATCTTTTAAGACAAGATAATACATGATTATTTCCAACAGACTTGATGTAAGGTCAGTAATAGTGAGAACCTTCTTCTCCAGCCCATTTTTACTAACATCTTCTTTTGACCTACATATAGATTTTGATCAACAAATTAACTTATATATATATATGGGTTTGCTTTGGAGCCGTAAGACATGAATACCACAAAGCCATGAAATTAAAAAATGTCTCAGAGTGTGTTCAAACGAAGATGTCAGTAACAATGGGCTGGAGAAGATGTCAATGTCAGTAACAATGAGACAATTTTTAATCTCATGGTTTTGTGGTATTTCATGTCTTACGGCTCCAAAAGCAAACATATATATATGTATGTCAATTTGATGATCTAAATCTTTATGTAGGTCAAATGAAGATGTCAGTAACAATGGGCTGGAGAAGAAGGTTCTGACTTTTACTGAACTTAACTCAAGCATGTTGGAAATAATCATGTCTTATCTCGTCTTAAGAGATAAATTTCGTGCTCGGCTGTCTGCAAGGCATGTCGTAAAGCCGCTGTATATGTTCGGGTTGTGGAAAAGCATCCATGGGTTATCACCTTTCCAAAACATGACGACTTGACTATTCTCTTCGATCCTTTGGATTCAAGTTATCTTTTAAGCAGACGCACGAATGTTATCTTTTAAGACATTATTGTAAATATTTCCCTAGATCAGTCAAATCATGTACATATTATGTGGCTCAAAGACTATAATCTAATATAATACTTTGGCTCAAAGATATGGCTCAAAGACTATAATCTAATATAGTACTTTGGCTCAAAGATATATCATTTGCAATTTAAGAGTATTGAGAGATAGAGATAGAGAGGGGATAACTCACAAGATAAGCTTTCCTCTCCGATCAGTCATTACGATTTCAAGAAAATAAAAAGACAAAAGTAAAAATGTTATCTCACCATTGATACCTCTATATAAAATAGCCAAACATCACTATATAATTTGTTGTAGATAAGACCAATGTTAGTGTCAATTAGGGTCAACGTCCGAAGCCCAGTCGAGCCCGATCATGAGAAACACCGTATTCGACTTTGGATATATATAATTAAGTCGAAAAAATCGGGCTTTTCAAAGTATATGGTCTTGTAGGCTGAACCCAATCAGATTTGGACTGGCTAAAAACTCGAAAATATCCAATATGATATAGATTTTTAGTCAAAATGTTTGGTCTATACGATATTGGATATTTTTGAATATTAAAAAAAAGAAAGATATTTTTGAATATTTTGGGTCAGCCTAAATAACTTTATACTTTGGAAGCCCAATTTTTTGGACTTATATATCTAAAGCCGAATTCAGTGTTTTCATGGCCGAGTTGGGCTGGACTTCAGATTTTGGCCCTAATTTTTGTTTTTTTTTCTTCCTTCCATTTTGGTCCTAATTAACAATTCTAACGTTGGCCTTGTCTAAAAAAGTAAGTAGTGATGTTTGGTACTACCATATATAGGTAGGTATCAATTGTGAGTAGTGACATAACATTTTTATTTTTGTCTATTTATCTTCTATAAATCAAAATGATTGATCATAGAGCAAATCTTATCTTGTGAATTCTCCCCTCTCTATCTCTCTCTCAATACCCTCATATTGAAAATGATGTGTCAAAGGTTTCTCAAAGTATTTTATTAAATTATATCTTTCAATCACATAATAAAATATAGATTTTTAATCAAAAGGTTTTATAAACAATGTCACATATATAAAATGTATAAAATAATGATTTATATTTACAACTAGAAAAATTGTTATTTATTTGATAATAATGCGTTAAGTTGATAAAATAATTCAACGAATTGAAAGTGTTAACACTGTTGGAACATATAATGAGTGACATGTTGGGATAAATGTGCAATGAATTGGTCATGGTTGAGGTGATTCAAAAAATTAAGGTAAACGTCAAAAATGTATTTTTCGATCTAATAATCATTTTATTTTTATTATGATTATAGTTAGTGATACAAACCTCAAAATCCATTTACAGTTTACGCTCCTCCGTTTTAAGGTCCACAGCTTGAATGGTACGATGGAACGTAACGATGGTAGAGAGGAATGATGGAGTTTTGTCGTTGAATCCATAACAACACACTAAGAAGAATGTTTGAAATCAAAAACATCTAGAAACGCAATCAAACCAAACTATATATAGAGTCACACCAATAGACTTGAATTAATAAGACTTCAAAAGATTATATATATTTTGAAAGAAAAACACACTTTTTAATACAAAACTTGAATACAAATGAAAACTAAGGTGAGATTATATAGAAACTCAAAGAAACGGTCATATGCTCTAAAGAAGTAAAGAAATCGCCATTAAATAAAAAGAGCCGTTGGCCAATTAAATGATGAATTTGGCTGTATAAAGAAAATCTTAAGGCTCCTTGTATTTTGATAGCTTTGGGAGGAAATGGAGCGTCTTTGGAATATCCAGATACATTGAATTTGGCTTTAGAATGCGTTCAAAATTATTAGAATAGAGCCGTTGTAATTTGATCTCGTTTGAACTTGATCCACCTAATCAAGTGAGGTGTGGTACACCTTAAGACATGTAGATAAGTCTCAAGATGATCTCCACGTTTCCAAATATGATTTCGAGGTGTGCCTAAATATTAATTAAACTAATACTAAATAAACTTATAAGAAGCAATATAAATTTAATTACTTTAAACCAACAAACTTCTTTTACTAGAATATTGCAAAGTTAAGATGTAGTAGTAAATTAGAAAGTTAAAAATAAATATTTGAAAAAAAATAGATTGATGCATGAATCTATAAATGATTAAGAAAACATATATTTATATTTTTTGGCTAATATAATCCCTAGGATTCTACTTCATATAAACAAAATTTTAATCTACATTATTGC